CAAAGCGCCTAGGTCGGGGATTCAATCGAAGTCGTCTCATAGCTCCCCGTTTCGGCTGTTTGCACTTCATCAGCCTCCTTCTCCGCAAAGCTCTTGTTACTCCTGGTCGCACTAAACCACATGAAGCAAGAAATATGTCCTTTTCATCAAGATCATCGTTCATTTTTACCATGTCAGCCGACATCTTGTCGAACAAATTCTGTAGATTGATCTCCCTGAAGGCGTGCACTACATCTTCCCTCTCATTTTCTTTTGGTCCATTTTTGCGCAATCTGCTTTGCAGAAACTGCCGTCTGGACAAATACACTCCACCCACAGTGCTAATTTCCTCCATTACCTCTCGAAGAATTTCATCACACACTTGGAAGCAGTGGAAGTTGTTGGGAGGAAGCCAATCGTATCGCAGCGCCCTCAGTTCATTCTCACAGTTGATAAACGCCGGTTGGCCGATTGCAAACACATCCAACTTATCCGGATATGAACTCCACCTAGCTGGAGTGGTCTTGGCTGAATCAAATCCATTTGCTTCCCGATCAGATTGAGAGCCAGCATTAACGTCGTCTGTTATCGCCAATTTGCCTGCTTCACTCCACACCCTACTCATTTCCTTCTCTGCTTCTCTCCCACTTCTTTCATGCAGAGCTGTTGATAAAACTGTGCTAACCTCCGCCGAATCAGCATCCTTCGAACCCCGCCTCTTGTTCTTCCTTACGAGTCCAAGCTTCTCAACCACGGACTTCGACTTACCGCGATTTCTGTAACAGCACGACTAATCACACCCAACATCAACTTACCTCGTCATCATTTCAATTTTGGGAAGAACTGGATTCTATAACGCAAAGAAGCGAAAAGAATCGTTAGTCAGATATGACCCAAAAATTCACCAAAAAGGGGTGAGCCACATAACATCAACCCCGCAAAATAAACCACATGGAATGTGAAGCTTATGGTGAAAGAGTTGTACCCGACATTTGACCTCAACGCTACTACATTTGAACGGGTCTCAAGATAGGACTTTGAATTATCTGACCATCACATACGCATGCTGCCTTCTCCTGGTCCTTCTGTAATCAACATAAGCTGAGAAGGCTAGTAGCATCGAATTACACCCACCACTATTAGGCTAAATAATTATTAACGCATGAGAAGAGGATCCAGCGAAGATTTCCACTAATCTACGTTTTAAGCACCAAAGTCTTACGTCCCTGCCTAGAATCGAAACTTCTGCATACACAGCGCCAAATCCCGACCTACCCACAGCGGAGCGTGATTGGCCGATAAAACCAAACAACAATGCAGCTGGTCATTCAAACATATATTTTAACGAAAGCGTAACAGATCCAGAAGTAGACCCTTCTACATTCAAAGTTTTGTTAAGCATCTAGGCGTAATAAGCAACGCCCCCGTTGCTAGTGTGTTTTTTTTAAAGTTGGGGTAGAACAAAACTGGAATTTTGAATCTCACTTTACTTCCAGCCGACAAAATAACATCTAAGCCTTTTCGATTTATACGGCCGTAGTCTAGAAGCTAAAGTGTTTGGAGTAAAAGCGTTCGTCAATCGCTCGAACCAGTTTGAAGTCGTGCAAATCAAAATACTTGTAAATGGCTGAATCGATTAAGGGTTTTGATTTTCCTGTAATATTAAAGAGGTGCATTCCAAACTCTTCTATGCCAAACATTAAGTTAAGTGCTCCTTTCAAGCATTTTGCTTGTTGTCGTTTTGTGTGCTCTCAAATATGCATTACAACCATATTTAGGTTAGAGGAGTCGGGTAAGTACCTATTTAGATTCCAAGGCAGCGAAACCCTTGTGTTAGTGTGGACACAAGGCCTCTAGTAAGCTATGAAATTAGTGTAACAGCAAATCAGGATTCAGTGCGCGTCACTGGACTCCTACTATGGTGTTTCGAGCTCTCCTCAAAGTCGTAATAACCCAAAGCATCGTAGCAGGACACATAGTAGTAACGCAGAGAAGCGCTGAAAGGCCTCAGCGTGGTCTGAAGGCCATGCCGCAGAGCAGAAGTACAGCCTGAGGGACTGAAATATCCGCGCGACCAAACAATCAAATCGTTACACTTACCAATGCGTTTGCGGTTTCAACAGATTCAATCCGTGTCATTTAGGTCTTATATCAGTTGATAAAACAATATTGGTCTTCGACAATAATATTCGCGCTCTACTTTGTGCCTCAAAGTGGAATAGCCTGCTTAAGAGCAGCTTTGCATAAAACCAGTAAAGCTGGAGTCAAAGCCGATTATCAGTTACGAGTCCAGTCTGCAAATAATTTTGGATTTTAAAAGAAGGCATTTTTAAATTCTACTAGATAATTTTATGATACATACTTGTAGGGAGGTAGAGAAGCTGGTACAGTCGCAGAATCAGTGACATGAGTGTCGGCTACGCCATTTCTTCCACTTGCCTCCAGTCTCAGAGCCCTGGAATCAGAACATTGCCTCGTAGCAGACATTGTATGTTGTTTGAGGGTGGAATTATACCAACAACCAAGGTTCTATGTGGAATCGATTCTGACTCCCCTTCAAGGATCGATGGTGTTCTTTCAGGCGCAGGATTGACCCAATTCGCCTGCTTGCTACTTAAAAGGTGCATTCAACTACGCATGTATTACACAGCCCACTTGTTGTTTGGACCATTGCTTTCGGTGTTTCCCTTAGGGCCCGTTTCGTCGTACACCCTATTCGATGGGTTGCTTTCTTTATTTAGCATGTGGACCTAGTCCTCGTATCCGACCGATGGCATTTTATTATTCAGGACCTTGACTGGTTGCGCGTGGAGCGTTGGATCCAAGATCAAGTAACTTGTTGTTAAAGTGATAGTTTCCACGGAATCACCTTTTTGCTAGACCGTGGGTTGGCTAAACTTATCGGAATGTCTTTACTGACGCTATAATAAACGGAAACGTTCGGATTTGTGATTAAGAATGTTTCACAACTTCTGTAGTCGCAATACATACTCTGGGGTGTTGTGATTCAACGCTTTACTGTTTAATGGGAAGATGCCAGCTGTTACTCTCAACTCGCAGTCGGTAAGCGTGTGGAACAGCACGTTCATTGGCGTTTCATCGATTTGAGTGGAGTAGTATTGCTTAATGTCTCGCAAGATGCGAATATCTTCGTTTTGCACAAAATTTATGGCAACACCTTTGCGCCCGAAACGTCCCAATCTTCCAATACAATGAATGTAAAGCTAACGATTATTTGGCAAGTCGTAGTTAATGACCATGGACACCTGCTGCACGTCTATACCTCTCGCCAGGAGGTCAGTAGTAATCAGAACGCGACTTTCACTGCTACAGAAATTCCTCATAATTTCTTCCCGTTCTTTTTGCACCATGTCGCCGTGCATAACTGTAACGGTGAAGTTACTCTTACGCATTTTATCGGCCAGCCATTCGGCCTTTCGACAGGTGTTGCAAAATATGACAGATTGGGTAACCGTCAGAGTGTCGCAGAGATCGCAGCCCTACATGCAAAGAGATGCCAATTCAGGCGTAAATCTTAAATCTGTAAATAGAGGCCCTTAGTCAGAACCTTGAGCATCAAATAAAAGTGCGATTTGTTTTATTGAATTGCGCATTACAGTGTAGATGGCGGGATGTCGTGTATGTCTTCAAAGTCCCAAAATATTTGCATGGTCCGGTGGCAGGCGCCGCTCAATGTTGGCGCCTTGATCACTATGCGCATTTTCCGAAAACTCATGTTGAAAAATAAACCGATTAATAAAACAAGAACGGCTTTGTTAAGCTTCTTGGATCTTCGGAGATTCTCCCTCGACCATTTTTGTCAAATTATCTATTCTGGCGAATATATGCCGGTTTTCTCTCTCTCTCTCTCTCTCGCTCCCCAAATGACAAGAGACCAAAAATACCAACGCGTTGAAGAGGTCATTAGATTAAAATGGTGCAATCACTACAAAGTGGAGTCTTTTGAAGCTCTAATAAGTAATCCGGGTCCAGCGACAATCATGTGTGTCATGGGTAGCTGAGGTCTATCAGCACCTTTGGAATAAGGTGTCCCGCACTATCATTTGCCCTGTATGGCCCAGTCGTCCGTGTAATTTATGGAGGACTGCTTGTACTAATGGATCTGGATCTACTAAGCTCTTGGGTGTACTAGTTTGTTTGTGGTGCAATAAAGCCTCATCATCTGGAGACAGTTATAACAGCCCTTGCCGTGTGCATCGGGCAAATTTCTCAGATGACATCACTTTCGTCTTTAGTGCTTATTTTTTTGGAAAAGTGCAGCGAATCTGTGGTACACTAAGGTGGTCTAGGAACCATTGCATAGCATATTTCTCCATTAGTATTTAACGTGTTCTCTAAGGAAGAGTGTATTCGTAGAATCGTCGCTAATTCCGCCTTTTCTGATTTGCGAGGCGACACCCGTACTACTATGCACACTCCCTTCCATGCATTCCATTATCGGATCACACTGCTACATTTCACTGAACGAGCGGACCAATGAAAGGTCCAACCCGGACAACACGTGGTGGTCTGCTCGCACTGTAAATTAACTAGTGGTTAAATTATGCCTGAAATGTGTGGTAATTGTTAAACTAGCGGCAGGCTCACGTTGCCTGGATCTTCTCTGTCTCACCTACTTATTAAGCGTGGTATCGTGGACGCGACGTGGTGTTACCGACTCTCGTCAACATTTAGTGGGAGTACACCACTCACAGTCGTATTACCTGAATCAACGTCTAGGAGGAATGGTGAAGCACCTGACTCGGAATTATGTAATGCCAGACTCAATGAGGATTAGAGGTTTTGCTTTAGTTCCTTGAACACTTTATTGCGCTTCTTCTCCCAATTTTAAATCTTACTGGCCTACTTTCCCGTGAGTTGATGCACTAGGCTTCTAATTTTGGCAAAGCCTTTAACAAAAAACCTGTCATGGGCTGCTGAGCCTGGGGAATTACGGAGTTTCGTCAAACATGAGTTGGAGTGAGCATCTACCTTATCTCTAAAAGCTGCACTTGATTTCCATTTAAAATTTGTATGAATGCTGTACGGCTTAAATCAAATTACCAACAAATTGGTACACTGCTGCTTTTATCGCTCAGATGCTGTCGGAAGAAATGCATTAGGAATCACTGGGCGATCCAGCAACTGAGTGCAAAATCATCAATCCAATTCACGTGGACAAGCATACTGAAGACCGGTTGGTATTGAGGCCTATTTGGCATGCTCTTCAGTGATGACATGGAAAGTGAAATTAGAAGTGCAATCTGTATAGGATTTTCCGAAGTAGTCCTGCATGAAAATGAAAGAGTACTTTCGACTGAACCAAAAGTGTGACAGTTGAAACAAAGGGCTATTCGCAGGCACCTATATGAGTACGGTCAAGATGGAATTGTTCTAACGAGGCGGTGAAGTTAGGCTGAGGAGACGAATCAGCCCCGATAAGGGCGCAAAGAAGCTGAGGTGAGAAGTGCACGTGATTTGAGGTCAATGTCCGAACAACGCGCATATGGGGGTTAATAGCTGACAAAGCCGAGCCAATTGTGCAAGCCAGATTCTTTACTTCTGAAATCACTGCATGCTTCCGCAACAAATAGCGGTAGAGGAAGCGATTTCCAAATGCATGCGGTTTTGAAACGCAAAATTGGCGGCAATATACGTATATTTCGGCAACGGATTGAATCACTAAATGGGTTTCATTGGGGATCAAATTGAGCATTATTTGCACATGATATTGGATTTTTGCTTAGAAGACTTAAGCATTTTGTTGAAGCATGGCGTTGTCGCTTGATTTGCATTTAGTTCATCTTAGGTGGGCGACCATTTCAAACATCACCGACAACATGCATAGTAGAGCATGCATCGCTGGGAAGCACTACATAGACATTATTATGCTATGTTGTGCTGATCTGATGCATTGTTAAGGTGTGTGTTGAGCTGCACGTGTGCATTGGTCGCCGCGGGATGTGCTTGCACTCTGCGGCATGGCTATCAGACACCCGGCCATGGCCATAGACACTAAACGGCTCCCTACAAATATAATATTCATTTATCATACTGCTACGAGGACAGTGA